ACAAACACTCAATTATTATTAAATAGCATTTGAAAATCCTTATTAATGTGATTTATTATTCATACACAATTTACTATGGACAACTGAGAAATAGTGTTTTCGTACTTCCATCGCCTTCCACTTACGTGAAAAACTTTGAATCTCAAATATTAATACGAGTCATTTGTCGAGAACTGACCGAACCAAAATTCTTATTGACAATACGGCGAGACTATAATATATGGACGAACCAATCGGATTTACGTTAACATATCTTAGATTTTGGCGCGAAACTCATTCACTCATTTGGCTAAATAGAGTTTTGGCACTATAGCTGATGTCAGTTCGCGATAAAAACCCTAAATCTAATTCCTAACCTAAACCATCAACTGTAAATCATAATCCTTATTCTTCATACTGCTTTATCGCCCTCATTTAGCCCTATTATGTAGGTGGACACTCTTAAGGTTAGTCTAGCGTCGCTCAAAGGTCGTCCATAAATTATAATCTCAGTGACAATACAAAATAGGTGGATCGATGTCCCAATCTGGCACGGTGGTTGGAAAACACATTGACGAGCTATTTAATTACTCGAAACAACCATCACAAGGCTCTTTGAACTTTTGAATGAACTTCTAACACCACTGTTTTGAAGACTATCACCGAGATTATATATTTAAGAACAGTAAATAACGAACCAGTTAACATGTGATATTTCAAATATGAGACCATACTAGGCGCTCACGTTATCTCTCGACTTTTCTGGAGGCGGTAAGACTTACGTGTTACGTGAGATGAGACCATGTACCCTATGTATAGCTTTAACAGTTCAATCGAAACAAAAAACGCGTGACTACTCATTCGTGTCCCCAAGTTGCTACATTGATGAATATGATCTAATAACCGTTGTTTAGTGGCCACTTAATAATTTAAAAACTTGGAGCATTTAGGGGCACTTCTATACTGCAAGATATTAGGTAACTTTTGGAAAAACTAGAAGAACTAACCATTTGAAAACACTGTCGAATAGCCCGCGACTAAAGAAGCACTTGAAGGACAGATTATTTATAACTTGCTTTGGTGCAATTCAAACCCCAAACTTTGTGAGACAGTTTGCCTCTCGCAAGCTACTACTACTAGATAGCAAAATAATGTTTTTAGTTTCGGAAGGATATATTTTTTTGTTATATTCCCTTAAATCCACTGAACAAAAACAGTATTTATTAATGGGAAGAGTGATAGTGGAGTTACATCTTGCGTAATCTATTTCATTACCCACGAGACTACATCAGATGTCTAGGTTCCTTTTGTTAGAGTCATCGCGAGGTCTTGCTATGCGACACTTTGAAAGTACAGAAGTGTATTATTGAGATTTTCGAAAGCTCAATTTCATACTGCGGGGGTAGTTAGCCCAAACTTGCAGACGAAAATAAATAGCTCCGTAAGTCTTCGACATTTATGTTGATCCGATTAGTTCTATTGGATGCACTTGCCATAAGGCACTCGGTCACACGCCCGCAACAGAACACAGATGAGTACACCGTTCTACGCATCATTCACAACTTTTATCCAAGTTAAACTTAACGCTTAGCAATACATTAATAATTTTCCGAATATATTTTCGAATCACTTCATTTCTGATTTTTAATTTGACGGGATGGGCATACTTGGTATATTGTGGTCATTTAGGTCTGGTTCGTGTAAGCCGATAAACTAGTGAACCTAGTGTAAATTTATTGCCTCGTCATGGCCGATCTGTTTGATCTTACTCCGAAGTCACATCATCATCTGCCCCACAGGGATTATTACGGTGTTCTAGTGCATAAGAATCTTTGAAAGATTATTGAGATACCACCAGCAGAACAATACATAGAATATAAAAATGGTATGATACACATAATAACCACGTATGTAAGACTGAGGCAAACATACATAGGTTCACATACATATTTATGCACAACCAAACGTATATGTCCATATGAATGAATCGTGAACGATGTAGTTCAGATTGTATAAAATAAGTCTTGTTCAATACCTATAATGTAGAAATTTAGCTTGAGAACTTATTGTACTGTATCTAAAAATTACAAGACTCAACTACAAACCACAAAACTCACCTTTTTAACCCGCGTCCCACCATCTTATTTTCTGTGTACCACATTCCTACATGTAGAATGAAGAACACAAATATTCATGTATAGTCGCAGGATTTAAAAAAAAACAACATTATTCGTTAAAATATCTGATTTATTTATAAAAGTAGTGACATGACAAATGACACTGTCTTTCTGTTGCGAGGAAGATGCATGTGTGATGTAAAATCAGCCGGGACGAGCATAAAATGAATGTTGCAAACGGGCAAGTGGAACGAAACATGATCAAAACAGTCACGCACCGATGAGAGCGAACAATTACCATCAAAAAGCGACCATGAGAAACATACATACCTGTTAGGGTGAATAACATTTTAGCGGCATGGAATTCGATGGATATACCGCCTATATCTTCGGCGCTACGGCTAATCCGAAAACTGATCTCAAACATCGGACAAGAAATAACCCTTAACAAATAGGTTAATTTTTCGAATCAGGCAACAATTCATCATTCTTATTACCATCGTCATGTTATCACCTATGTGAGTTTCGAACAGCATGGAGGGAAACGTTTTGGAGGGGTTTTGTGAGCGTTAGGTTTTCAACGGGTTTGTTGAACAACTTAAGGTGATCGAAAACGGAGGAAAATTGCAGAAAACTGTAATGATTAGAGTCATAATAATTACGTTGTATATTATGGAAAGAGGATGCATCAATAGTTATGTTTTTGCACTTCACTAGGATGCATTTAAAATACATAGAGCAACAAGATGGTCAAAATTTCAGTAGCTAGTGCCTTCATCTTGAGTGTCACAGAACTGAAAATACCTAACTGATTAAAGACTATTACATAGAATACTATTAATTTCACTGTTTTTGATGCATTAGTTCTACCCAACTTTCGAACACATATGCTTATAACTTTGAGCTCGAACATTTTGGTTACACTCTGTCTTTGGTCTGGCATTTTGGAAGCTTTCTTCCGGCAACCTAAAATTTGAAGGTTTGCCTTTGTCCAAGCCCTGCGATTAGTAATGCTTCACTTCCACTGCCACACATCAAAAAAATTGGGAATATCTTACAGAAAATTGCAGGTTGTGCTGTCATACGACTCGTTCGTTTGTTATAAAACAGCAGATGCGACACAATTATGTTCCAAACAAGGCTGTGGTAAATAAAAAAGAAGATCAGCAGGAAAGAAGTCAAGAAACCTCTTCAGCAGAGGCGAGACTTTAAATAGAGACTATCGCATATACTGTTTTGCCTTGTGAGGCATCAGAACATGAACGGTCGTCTAAAATGTTATTTCTCCTATGCACGGTTTATATGCATCCTTGGAATTAACACAACTTATAAACTTGATAAAAAAGGAGTCTTGTCCAACGAATCGAAGGCAGCCCTGATGTCAAGAAACACTACGATTGTTGCCTTTGATAAATATGACAGTGTTCTAACATTTGGCGGAGGGTGAAGATATGATCAACACATCCTCGACCAGAATGAAAACCAGCCTGCTTCTCGCGAATCAATCTTTCTTGGGTTTTGAACAACCTACGAAGTATGACGGAAGCCAATAGCTTGGACGCAATCGGAAGTAGACTTGTCCCCCGATACTTGTTACAACAACGATGTAAACCATTTTTAAAGATAGGGACAACTATCGACTCATTCCATGACGTTGGTACACTCTCTAGTTCCCAGAACCCTGTAAACAACACAGTCAGTTCCTTAGCCAGAAAGTCATCACCATCTTTAAAAAGAGCCGGAGGTAAGTCCTCTGGACCCGGTGATTTGTAGCGCTTCAAGAGTTGGAGTTCCTTGCGGACTTCCTCGTCGTTTGGTTGATCAGTCGTCACCGGCCATGAAGGGCAGGACAGTCTGACCGATGTTGCTGGAGCAGCAGGTCAGTTGAACTGCCCTTCGGAGAATTCTGCCCATCGTCCAAGACGTCGATGGATGTTGGTGATTGGCATCCTGTCATCTTCTCAGATTGTTTCGCTCACAACAGACTTTTTGCTGCCAGTGGCTCGGATGAATTGAGAACACGTAACATTAGCACCTTCGGTTAATATATTCAGAATGAGACTGGATCTCTACAGACTACAAAGATTAATATAATTCAGTAGACCTAACCTTGCCACCGAAGACTGACCTTGAGGTAAGATATCTCCAACCGTTTGAAGCATTGAACTTACCTAGCGGCTAAGGTAAAATATTCTCCACTTTTAGTAAAAGTATATGTTCAGTAGCTTCATATCGTTTCGTTTCTATGCATTAGAGAGCATCTAAACATATATTTAAAACGTTCGCATTGTTCAACTCATAAAAAATTTAACATGTGACATTTTGCAGGTTAACCCGCCACCTATTACAATTGCAATCAAATGATAGCGATTTGCAATTACGAATTTCTTTATGGCTACAATCATTTGGTTAATGGAAACTTATTGGGGTGATATAGTTGTATGTTCTGTTACATGAACTTCTCGACACACTACCCGCAACATCTTAATCTTGTATATACTTACTTGCAAGAAAGTAACTGTTAACGGTTGGTCTTATTTATCAACTGCTTAATAGCTCTCTTACATAACCATTTGGGACTTTAGATGGCACTTTGTAACTACCTCATATTCATTTGAACGGACTTAGAGATACTATCAGGGCCAGTGTAGACACTTCAGCTTTTAGTTCTGCCCAAGACTGGAGCAGATAATATTATTATTACTTAAATTGACAAATACCAACAGATTTTGTAGTTTGGATTTACTTGAGATGGCCAGGGTTTACATAAGATCATGGTCGTTTGTGTTTTGTTTTCAGATTCACAGTATATTAACAAATCGTTATGTGTCGAGTGGCATTCACTTACAAGCGAAAATGGAAAACATTTTGTCACCAGTGAATTTTATTTATTCATAAACACTGATGGAGAAAAGTGGAAACTTCTTGTTGAACAAGAAAGGTACTTTTCAATATTTTCAAATTAAATGGCATCTTTAGAAAAAGATCAATCGTCAAATAAAACGAATGTAATGAATGAATCGTTAAGTCAGAAAGGTAGTTAAGTACTTTGAATTCTTAATTCTGTGCTAATGTAGTGACTGAAACCACTTCTGACCTACTTATTTCACTTGCAAATGAACCTTCACTGGCTTATTTCCATATTCAAGAACATATTAGAAAATCAGTTCCAGAAATCTTGAAATACCAAGTTGAAAATTCCTTATATTTTTGTAATATTCTTTATATGTAGTTGAAAGTCGAACAATTAGATTCACAATTACGCGGTTCTTGTTATGATCTTGACTATGCACTTGAGTAAGTCTTGTATCTTTAAATACCTACTTTTAACAACTATAAACCGAAATGTTAGAATAATGGTCCAAAAGTCCGTGGCAAATATTCAAATTGTCTTCGTAATTATCCAGAGAAACTCAGAAATTACAAAATATTAAGTGATACAAATACGCATCGGTCATGGTCGTTACATCTTATGTCAATGTGGTTAAAGGAGATAAATAATTGGTAGCTATGAAAGTAAAACCTCTCAACTAGTCAATTTACTTCTGTAGATGGTAATACATCTATCTACCACAGTTCACAACTAGTCTTCCCGATTATTTATTACACTATAGTTTAAAACCTCATTGACTAACGTCCTCTCCTTACTTAAACTATGATGCCTGACAGCAATACTTACTTCTTGGTCCCACCACACTATAAATGCCATAATGGAACTCATTATTGGTACTTGTATTCTACACATGTTTGTCAATGCAGCATGAATCAGTTTGTACTGTGTGCTCTCTTTACTCAAGTCGGATAACTCCATAATGATCATAAGTAGACAAATGTCAAACAAGTTTCCCTTGTCCTTATTTAGATTTCAACTGTGAACGGTACATAAAGTCTAATGCAACTCTAAATACCTAAAGTAGTTTTTATTATATCTGTGTGATGTTAATAGGGTTTTAAAAGTGTATATCACAGTTAATATCAGAAACTTAATTTTTCTACAAATCGCTCAAGATGATATAATTTACTGTTATTTAACTCTTTTTTCTGCCATCATATATGTATTTAGTAATGTTAGAAGTATCTCAAAAGCTACAGTACATTTTAACCGGATTAACGAGCTCTTGAAGTCGAGCTTATTTGCTAAACTTCAGTTGGATTATGCACGCATGAACGCGTAAGTCCCTAGTTTTGCATATAACACTCAAAATATTACTACTCTATATAGTTATGATTCTATTATTTCTTGGAATTCATTAAATGAATGACTTATCTCACTATCGAAGGGAACTACAATGACAACTGTGTTTTTTGTGTTTAACGCATAACGTATGGTATACTTGTTGACAAGTGGTTTTGATTAGACTGTGTTTTTTGTGTTTAACGCATAACGTATGGTATACTTGTTGACAAGTGGTTTAGATTAGACTGTGTTTTTTGTGTTTAACGCATAACGTATGGTATACTTGTTGACAAGTGGTTTAGATTAGAATGTCGAGCTACGCATATATGGAGATATCACCTACGACCCTATTGGAAATTGCGACTTTTCTGAGAAAGTGCTATGCGATGATCAAACGCAACATATAAACTCAGTCACAAACCATAACTACTATACGGTAGCTTGTGATGTAACTCAGCTAACAATAACATTTCAATGGATACGCTTTCAAGTGATGATTATCTCTTGGTTAGGACTTAGGTGTTTAGTCCATAACTCATAATTAAAAAATAACCAACATGTTTCGCATAATACAATACTTTGGAAGATTTCGGAATGTAAAATGTGCAACTATTGCTCTTCCAGTTAGTAAGACAGTTATGTGAAGCGGAACACTAATTCCAACCCCTTCAGAAGTAAGTTCTGGGAACTCAATATGAACCACCGATTCATTACAAAGTAAGTCCAGAAAGTGTATGATTCACATCGATTTTGAAAAGAATTACTCGTATACATTCTCAATGGTTTCTATTCGATTTATTATTTACAGTCCACCAGTTGAAGTAGGCATCGATCTTGTCTCATGGGATCTAAATGATGAAGAACTGTTAAGGTATTACACTTGTATCTATACGATTACCAGCAATGGTAAATATGCAACAGAATGCTTTATTTTAATTCGCTAATCTTAGTTTGCTTCAAAATTACATGTGTATGGATGCAGTGCTTAATCTTAATACATTGTTTGTTTGCAAGTTTTTGATTCATTTTTGTGTGATTTAACACGGTGGTTGTGTTTTCTGTCAGAGATTTCTTTTCAGGATTATTGCACTTACATGTCACTATTCTATGCTTTCTTGCTGGTCTGTTCGGATTTGTGTTTAGTAAATAAAGTTAATTTTCCCCGTTTGAAATCCTCTTGTAGTTTAAGTCATAAAGAGCCACAAAAACGAAGACCAACTCAATGCAACCAAGATGTACACACTGACGTTTCTTTCCAAAACAAATGCACAGAGATCCCTACAAACTCACGAACACTAAGCCACATATCCAGCACAGTGTCGACAGCAGCTGTACAAGTACGTGATCAAGCTATCAATTTAACCAGGAGAGTTTTGTGGACACAAAGTGCCGATGTATCTTACTCTATCATCTCACCCATTTCATCTGATTCTAAAATCACTAACTCCTCGAGTTCATTTGATGAGAAACCAAAGTTTTTGGAAGCCTAATCTAACAAACGAATCCTAGTAAGGGAATAAGCTCTGTAAATGAGTAGCTGAAACTGTTTTATAAGCAGCTTCTTCTTATAATTACTGACAATTTTGCACATTGTATCATACAAATACAATATTCTTATACCTATGGTTACATTTCTTTTAAATATAGTCATCGAGCTGTTGTATAAATAGCGTAGGTGTCAAAACATTTACTAGGATGTAAAGTGATAAGTTTATTTGCTTGACGACTACTTAACTACATACTTTCCAAACACATACGTAAATAGATACTATCGTGAGCTTCACATTTTACAACAATTAGCGAAACAGGCAAAAACAAGTATATATTACGATAAAAACTACGGGTAACAGTTTAAAACAAAAAGTATGTACATATGAAAGAACTACGGTACAGTAAAATCAAGCAATTACAAGCGACGAAGAGAAGATTTCATTAACCGGGCTCGGGCTCTTGGACTGCGAGTTGGGGATGCCCGAGGTTGAATGGGAGATAATCTAAACAAGATAAGGTATTATATGAATTTTCGGCAGTTCAACATTGTGAGAGTAACAACTAAATTTCGAAATCAATAATTTTAACTGGTTAAATCAGTATTCATATGGCAAATGGCAGGTTTAAAAGTTTATGATTAGCTAATGGACTCTGGGAACACTAATTATGTACCTCGTCATAGAAGTATCTTACGTTTTGATACCTGAGAAACTTATTCAATGTTAATGAGAGTTTGCAAGCAAAGGGAATTTTGCACATTATAGTCCTCGGGACAAGTCTTAAATGAAATAACCGGTAGCAGCGTATTTAACCTACTCGTGTCTAAACTAGCTGCTGTTATTAAAATCAGTCACACGTTCTTTCAACTAGTCTTGAGCCATATTTGTTGGTTAGGGGGTTGAGGTACTTACTACTTGGTGAGTCATAGGTGGGTTGGCTCTGGTTAGACAAAGAGCGTGCAGGTCGTCCATGTGATACTTTTGGCTATAAAAATAGCTGTTTCATGCCGAAGTCAGATTTCGTTCACAAATAACATAACATTTTATGTCAGATCTAGTCATGCACGTTATATCAAGTTTTATAGAGGCAGTGTCGTCAGTTAGTAAGGAGCTTAATTAGTGGAATGACAGTAGCATTGCCAAGTTTACGTTAAGCTGCTTCTGGGATTTAAGTGGCGATGAGTTTAAACATAAACACTCCTTTGTCCGTACATATTCATATTATTATCTAGTTTAAGGAATATTTTCAAAATGTATCGTCATGGCACCACTGTACACTAACTTAAAGAATAGCTACACAGACACTTGATATTGTACCAAAGTGACGATAAATTTTGAGACCTCGAAATACAAACAAACTGAAATAATTTCTGGAGAAAATCAGACGTACAATACAAAGAACCATACCTGTATACTGGCGAGTTTGGTGTCATTTGACATTTATCACTCGGCGAGTGCTCCCGCTGACAATTATAACAAACAGAGATACCACAGTCCAAAGCCTGACAGTGCAAACGATTCGGCCATTCGTTGGGTCTATAGAACGCCACTCCAGAGCATACGGGACATGGATGCAAAAACTCCTTTGTGATAATAAGAGATTTAATGAAAAAAGTCGTAAACAGAAAATAAAAGGCTCACCAAAAATTAAAGTCACAACGTGCATTTAGAAATGGTTTTTGTGAGTAGCAATGTCAATGATCTAAAATGGCAAATTGGCCGATTTTAGCTACGTTGGTTCCCATGAATGTGGTCTGAATAGTAAATTAACTTTCTAAACAAACATTTGATAAATAAAATCACCCTACTATCCTAAAACAAATATTTCAAATTACAATGGGAGTATAGACATCATTACCCGCTAAACTTCGGTAGCAACTAAGCATTTTTAAAACTAAGAACGAGCGTACAAAGTAAAAATTACAAAGCTTAGTGATCAAGTAGTAATAAATTCTGTGTAATTAGTAGTCTGTAGTGCTTGTGACACAACCCGGTGTGGTAACGACCTAATTTAACTGGCATTTTTCCATTCATAAAGTGGGGGGTGTAAATGCAGATATCCAGTTCAAGAATCTAACTCAGGAGGGAATTGATTTAAGTCACGAGTTGCATTTTTATTAGTACATAACCCTCTTTGAATAACAGTACAACTATTATTATCTAAAAGCATATTATATTATTTAATACCACCTACCCCATAGTGGTAGACTTGAAATGAAACATACAGTTAACATGTATAACTTTTGCTTTTTGCCAATTAAACTAGAATGTTGGATCCTAATGTTGCCAAGAGCTTCTGATTGTCCAAATATATAATGCAAATTTCGTAAGACATATTTACAATGCACCGTTGTAAAGGGGGGACCCCCTCTGCCAGCCTTATTGAAGATAAAAATCTATGATGGACCGTGGTTTAGTGAACCCATTGATGGTGTCTAAACACATACTTTCTAAATTGACTGACTTATCAGAAATTTACACCATATTTAGCGAATTTGCAAACTTCATTACCTTAGTATCAAACTTATCAACTCTATTCTTAATTGTACAGGAGTTGGGACAGTTGATCGCACTCAACGGTTTACGGCTGGTTGTTGATCTTTGTGAACCCTTGGCGGAATTCTCCTAAATTCAGGTTTATAAATCATGTGCAACGTACCTTAAATATCACCTCATGCTTCCTACTAGCGGTAAACAGCCGTGGAAAGCGCAATTTCAACGAATACCAAGACTTACAAACACTGAGTACTGTAAGACGGTCAGAAATAGTCAGGTAACGAAGAACTTTCAGAAGTATATATTCCGATTTCTCAAAAGACATCAGGGCAGACAATATATCAACACGCCGCTTACCCCGTAAACTGAACAGTGAGCGAGCAAATCAAAGCAACTCACGAATTTCTAATGCCGGTACGTCCATGAACTTCTATACTTTCAGGGAAAATATCTTTCTCTGAGGTGCGGCCAGGACTAAGGAAAGTCGAAGAACGAGTACCATAACCAGTATCCTGCGAACAATCTGGAATTGATATGGATTCACGTTTAAGGCGATATGGTGTCGAAGTATTTTGTAGCAGCGGAAAGCTGCTTTTCTCTTGATATTTATGGAACATCCAATGAAAATGTTAAGCAGTTTCAAAAATGGATACTTCCAAAAACGCGCCGTCACTTTGCGTACGAAATCTCGGTACAGAAAAACTCCTACAATTAAATTATACGTAATCATAGTACAAATATCATGATATTTATTCACTGACTTTCGAGCAATCAAGTTTAAGAGATGTCATGTATATCAACATTGTCACTCATTCATTCCTAGCATATATAACTAACATCAGATGACCAATTTCTGTCTCCTCACGTTTTGACATTGATCAGGCACCTTGAGTGTATTTAATTGATACAGTAAAGTCCGTCTGTCCATCCGGATTCACTGGTCCTGAGTGTTCGGACACCTGGATTAAAAGGGGGCTTTCTCCGTTTTTCCAGGGAAACGGGACCCTAGTATTTTTTGTAGTGAGGGTGTGACAAGCCATTAACCATCAATTTGGGTCAAGATCAAATTAGCTACTTCAGCTGAACAACACTTCTCTTCCTTACGATCCTTGTTGCGGAAGAGAATCCGTTGCAGGTACAGCAACTCCACCTCGTTAGAGCAAATCTTGTTAAAAAGTTAGTTACCAGAATAAAGTCACTTTAAACAATCGGAACTGTGATCTGGAGGATCTTTGTATAGAACAGTTAAGATGTCAGTTCACAGGAAGTTTAACTCCATTTGTAGTTCTATAGCCACTGCCGGTGTCAAGCCCGGGTGAGTGGGGAGGGTTGTGCTTGAGTTCATCCACTAGAAGTTGACATACCCACCTAGACCTATTCATAATCGTATCTTTTGGTTTGAATGCTGTATTCTTTCTTATGCTACTTATCTTGCTAGTTAGTTCCGTTCGGGCTAACGTCATATTTAAAAACTTTTACTAATGCACTTACCAGGTCCAAATGCCCTGGACGGCCGAGAGTGAAGAGAGTTCGCTCCCTCTCTCTCTCTCTCAATGCTCTGACATGGATCTGACATAACTACTGCCAGGGAAGTCCTATCCGCTGCCATCTCGTAGCCGGGGGGTTGTTCACGAGATTGAAAGGATCAAAAGCGAATGTCCGGTGCTTTAACCAGGTTCGTTGATACGAAGGATCTACCTAAAAAGAGTTAGAAAACCCTGATTCCAAACCAATATTGTACATAGACTCCAGGATTCTAAGGAAACAAATGGTGTATGAACCTATTGTTGGTCACCGGTTGCTATGAGACTGCACCTCCTAACGTTGCTCCACTGCCTTGTGGATTAGACCTTTAGGTCAAAGGCTCGGGTTGTGGCTCCCTAAGAAAACCATCTGCTTCGGTTTGGGCACCCATGCAGTATTCCAGCCCTCACACAAATCGAATGGTTTTTTGTGGTGCATATGTATTTGGTGCCTCATTGTAACAATGTTCACGTGCTTAGATAGTAATAATAATGATAATAATAATAATAATAATAATAATAATAACTTTGGCTATGATTGTGTTCAAATAACTGGATAAACTCGGAATAACTGAAACCAATTGGACTCAAGCTGGACAGAACATGATATATTCAGAAAAAATGCCGTTTTTCTCTAGAAGAAAATGCTCCAGACACAGAGTAAGTTGCTTTGATGTTGTCCAAAGGAGCACGTAATGCACTTATGGAATGGTAATCTCACTGATCCAGGATCATCAAATCATCCCTCAAAACAAAGAACGGAACTACAATCAATGTTATCTAATGTTATGTGCTCACCAATGATAGCAGAGAAGATGATAAAGGCCAGTTTTTATGAGAGGTGTTGAGTCGGCTTCCGGAGAACTTCAACGGAGCCTCCAGAGGCCCAAAAGGAGCCGAAGGGACCTAGCCAATCAGAGTATGATGGAACGTTCTGAAATTCCAACGTGGTGTGCTACTATTGGTCGGTAGCATAATATG